CCCGCGGCCGGCCGGGGCCCCCGGCGGAGCGGGGCCGAACGGGCGGCGCCGCGGCGGGGAACGAAGCGGTTCGGGCGGGCGCGGGGCTCGAACTCGGGGACCGCCCCCGCCTGGCCAGGCCCGCCATTATATAGGGTGGTGAGGGGGCGGGAACCGGCGAACGACTCGGCCAATCACGACGCGCTCCTGCCGGCCTGCAGGGGCGTGCACAGCGGCGCCCCCTGACGGGGAGGCGCGGGCTGCCCCCGCCCGGCGCCCATCCCCGACCCCGTTCCGGTGTCGGTCCCTGCACGGACCCCGGCACTCCCCCCTCCGCAGCACCAACAGAGCCCAGCCCGGCCCAGGATGTTTATTGACTGCACCATGTATGGCATCCAGCCCCAGGTTCAGGCCCAGTCCCGCCGGCCGGGGGTTTCCCTGCTGAGCAGCCGCACAAGCTTGGCCCGGAGGTTGCTCGGGGGCTTGTGCCCAGGGCGCTCCGGTGGCACCTCCTGCCCCCAGCGCTGCTCAGGGGGCTGGGGGCTGCTCCGTGGCAGCTGGGCCAGGGCAGCCCGGTTGTCATAGAGGGGGCCCACCTCATTGCTGTGGCCCTCAGGGGCCTGCCGGCACCCCAGCTCCCACTGCCCATCCTCCTCTTCCTCCTCCTCTGCCCTGACAGGACCCAGCTCTGTGGTGAAGATGTTCTCATAGAGATGCTCAGGGGGTGGCTTCCCTGGGGCCCAGGGCTCACCAGGGCCTGGGGGCCCTGGCCCAAAGAGGGGCTGCTGGCCCCGGGCAATGGAGGCATAGATGATGGGGGCTGTGGCCTCCGTCTCCGGTGGGGGGAAGCGGAAGCGGCTGGCAGGGGTGTGGGAGGCAGGCTGTGCCCCGCCAACGGGTGGGCTGGGTTGGGGCTCCTCATCCCCGGGGCCCCAGGGCTGGGACTTGAGGCCCTGCTGTGCAGGGAGCTGGGGGTCTGGGGCACAGAAGAGCCGGGGGTCTGGGGCTTCCTTGGCCTGCTGCTTGGAGGTGATGGCGGCGGACACAGCGCGGCAGAGCTCCGAGGCCTGCGGGGTGCTGAAGGTGAAGGTGCCCTCGCCAGAGTCGCTGCGGCGGCCAGCCTCGAAGGAGAAGACAGTCTGCGGGGCCAGAGAGCAGGGTGAGGGGCTGGCATCCACTCTGGATAGCCAGCAGCCCCGAGGAAGGAGGGGGACACCCACCTGATCCTGGCCAAACTTGCGGAGGAAGGGGTAGGGCCAGGTGAGCAGGGGCTGCCGGGACTGCGGGTCCTTCAGTGTCAGGCTCTGGGGAAGGGCTGAGAGCAGGTAGTGCCCGTGCAGGCCACAGCGGGTGGCTGCCTCCGTCTGGACCACCAGCACCGGGAATTCAGTCACTACGGGAGCAGAGCAAGGCAGTGGGTCAGCACCAGGGCACCAAGCTAGAGCCCACCCCATCTGCCACCCCTGCACCTACAGTCCTGCCAGGAGGAGTAGAGAGTGTTCTCCTCCATAGGGACAGCGGGGCTAGGCTGGGTCCTGGCACTGCTCTGTGTCGTCTCCTTTGCACCCTGAAACAGAGGGATGTGAGCATGGACCCCTGACTGGGGGAACACAAGCTCCCCTGGCTGCCCACATACCCCAGAGCCCGTTGGCTCCCCCATGCCAGGAGCAGGATGAGGGGTCCTGGCTGTGCCCGGACCCCACAGTACCTGGAAGGCCAGCTGGCAGAGCTGGGTGATCCACTCATCCCGCTGCTCAGATGCCAGCAAGTAGCTCTTCTCCGTAGTGGTGAGGTAGAAGGCAGCAGTGGCTTTGGGGCAGTTCTCGGTGCCTGCTGGGCCCACGGAGACGCAGTCGGAGAGGCGGATCACCCGGCGGGCACACCGCCGCAGGGAGGTCTTCTCCGGTGCCGTGCCGTCATCCCGCACGTCAAAATTCTCCATGCGGGCCACGCCGGAGGGGCTGGCAGCAAAGAGCTGGGCTCGCATCTTCCTCCAGAACCTCTGTGGCGGGAAGGGCACAGGCAGGGGGGAAAAAAGGGTCAGCAACGAGCTGCATGTTGCATCCGTGCAGCACTGCCCTCCTGCAGGGCTGGCAGTGCTCGGGAAGAGCTGTGTGGGGCAGGAGAGGGCACAGGAGGTCCCTGCCCACACCTGCTGGGCGCTGCGGGAAGGCATGGAGAGCTGGGGCCAGCGCAGACTCCCAGGGCTGGGGGGCAGGGCTGTCCCAAAACTGGGTTGAGGGGGGGGTGCTGTGCCCCGAGTGAGCTCAGCGTGGCTTTCTGGGTGAGTCACGCTTGCTCCCGGCTCGCCGAGCACCAGGTCCTGCTCTTTGTTCCCCACTGCAAGTGCCGGCCTGCCGCCGCTGCAGCTGAGCTCCTGAGCTGCTCTCAGGACAGACCCCCCATGCAAATTAAAGCCATTTTGAGCAGCTGAGGCTCCTGCAGGCGGCCTCGCATCTGCCAGGCCCTGCAGCTCGCTGCTTCCTCCCAGGGGAGGCTCTGCGGCACCAGCACCTTCCCAGCCCGTCATGGGATAGAGGGGGCACGTGCCCCCACGCGCCTCAGAACAGCAGGGCCTCCACCCCACAGAAAACAGATGCACCGAGCACCCAAAATACCCACCGCCGCCAGCCCACCTGCCTCCTACGCGCAGCAGGGCACCTGCACCACGCACGCAGGGCCTGCCCGCTTCGCTTCCAGGACTCTGCCCTCACTTGGTGGGGAGATGAGAGCGTGGTTGTAGCCCCAGCACATCCATCGAGCCCCCCCAAAGGGCACAGCCCCCCTGCCGTGGCAGAAGGGTTGCCACTAAGGCATGGCCAGCGGGACCTGCGTCACTAACACCCATCTTCACCCCACGAGGACTCCCACCATGTCACCCATGCCATACCCAAAGGGCTGTGGCACTCAGTGCCCACTCTGAGGGCCCAGGACAGCAGGGCAAGCCAGGAGGGGTGCCCCACGGATGGCAGTGGCTCCCCCAGGGCCAAGGTCATGGAGGGCTGGGCACAGAGCCACATCCCACGCGCTGCCCCGCTCCCACACACACGCGCTGGAGCTGCGCCTCGTTAACACGCGTTTATTGTTTCATTGCGAATCACACGGTGACCAAGCGAGAAGAGGGACCCCGAGCAGGTGCCTGCATGGATGAGTCCCCTCGGCCACAGGGAGTCCTGCTCCTGGGGCTGCAGAGTCCAGGACGCCCCCAGAGCAGCTCCAAGGGGGTCTGGCTCCAGTCCCCCCATCCCAGGCTGCCAACGGCCTGACCCCAGGCCCGCCGTCAAGATAAATCAGGACAAACCCTGCACCCAGTCCCGAATCTACTCTTTACCTTCCCAAATTTGCAGTGCTGCACATAGAGGATCCCATCCTTCACCGGTCTCTCCATGGGCCCAGTGCCACCCTGGCAGCCAGCGCAAGGATCGGGGACTCGGGCTACCAGCAGCGGAGAAAATGTGACTGCTGCAACCCAGGCAACTGCATGGCGCAGACTTCCTTCTCGCAGCAACTTCCCCTTTTTTGATGTGTGGGATGAGGGGCAGAGGCTGGGCCACGGGAGGTGTTCATCTGTCCGCCCTCCCCCTCGCAGAGGGGCAGTGGGGCAGAACACTGTGGGGCAGAGCACAGGAAGCGCCGAGGGGACTTCCCAAGAGGAGCACAGCAGGCACCGCCTCGCCACGGCTGCATCCGAGCGAGTTCGGGGGACAGGGGAACGGCCACCAGCTGAGGAGGCACAAAACCAGGTAAAGGGGGTGGTCCTGGAGGGATCGAGGGGCTTTGGCGGGGAACGATGTAAGACCCTGGCCATGCCACTGCAGAGGGCTGGCAAGGGCAGCAGGCAGGTGGCCACAGACCTGCCACCACACCTGGGGCTTCCTCTGCCCCTCGGGCATCGCTACCTGGTTGCCCAACGCGCTGCTGCCATAACGGGCTGTTGCAGCACAGCTCCACACATTTCCTCCCGGGCCAGGAGCTTTGCAGGCCAAGCTGGCAACAGCCCCAATAGCCAAGTGCCTGGAAAAAAGGAGCCACAGCAGTACAGGAGAAGCCCCTGTGTTTGGGAATGGCGAGGGCAGCTGGGCTGCTGCCCCAGTCGAAAAGGAAGGCAGGCTGGCACAGGGGAGTGCTGGGCAGCACGCTCCCCAGGCTAGAAGTCCATGGAGCTGTGGGCCAGGTAGTCCTTGCGGCCGATGTTGCTGACTTGCTTGGTCTGCATGGCCTCCAGCTTGGGGCAGTCGGTGATGCGATGGCCCAGGCCGCCGCAGAAGGCGCAGCCCCGCTCGCCTGCAACAGGAGGGAGGAGGTGAGGGGCAGCTGGGCCACACCAGCAGAGCATCCCCCCACCCCAGAAGCAGAGGGGCTACACCAGCATCTCCCCACACTGCCACAGCAGGGGACAGGCCACATGGCCAGGCAACAACAGCCCCGAGGCAGGCAGGAGCTGCCCCAGGAGCCCAGATTGATGCGAACTTGGGGTCCTGTCTGCAGCCCAGCTCTCTCAACAGCCCTGCAGGACACCCCTCTGCCAGCCTGGGGTCTCTCACCTCCAATGTCCAGCATGGTCTCATCCCCACAGTGCAGCACCTGGAGCACGGGTGGCACCTTCTGCTTGGCCTCCAGGAGCAGGGCCTTCAGGTCCATCAGCACCGACTCATCTGGTGGCAGAGACAGGGATCAGACACAGACTGAGCAAGGAGGACCATCCTGACTCATCCCTGCTCTCTGAGGAACACCCCCCTTGCCAAGGCAGAGGCAGATCCATCACCCAACTGCCTCCTACAGCTGCAGCCCCACCACCAGCAGCCCCCAGCCCCATGCTGGTTCTCACCACAGGCCTTGTTGATGAAGGTGGTGGCAATGCCAGTGTTGCCCGAACGGCCCGTACGCCCGATACGGTGAACTGTGGAGAAAGAGACAGGATCAGGCCTGGGCGAATGCAACGTGACAGACCATCCCTGTCCCCAGACACTGCAGAGACAAGCGTAGAGCCTTGCTGGCCTCTGCACCCACCCCACCATGATCTCAGTGGTCCCCCACGGGGCCCAGTCCCCACCATAGTTCTCAATCTCCTCTGGCATGTCGTAGTTGATGACGTGCTGGATGGCTGGGAAGTCCAGACCCTTGGAAGCAACATCAGTGGCAACCAGGACATCTTTCTTCCCATCCCGAAAGGCCTCGATGGCTTTTGTCCGTTCTTCCTGATCTGTAAAGGCCCAGCAGAGAAGATCAGCACGGGCAGAGCTCCCAGTCCTACCTCTTGCGGCAAGCACTACGGCCTCAGAACCAAGCACGGCTCAACCAGCGCTCCCCCAGTGAGAGAAACTATGGAGCCCTTCCCCAAACAAAGGAGCAAAGGGACCTCTAGGTCCTGTAGGGATCTGCACTGTGTTTATACCTGCTACATACAACATGGCATTCGCTCCTGACACCACCACAGCCCTTCCTCACACCACCACAAACAGCTGCACCCTGGGACCTCCCAAGGCCACATACCACCCTGGCAGGAACAGGGTCAGGCAAGGCCACAGCACGGCCCGGCCTTCCCCGACACCCTCACTGACCTTTCCCTCCATGGATGGCCACAGCTTCCACACCCTTAAGCAGCAGGTACTCGTGGATCGCATCAACATCCGCCTTCTTCTCCGCAAAGATCAGCACCTGCCGCAGCACAGACATCATGGATGAGCTGCGTTTCTGCGGGGTGGCACCCCCAGGAAACCCACTTCCCCTCTTGCTGCACAGAGCACACAACAGCTCTGGGCCCAGGACCTGGAGCACGGCTCGCTCACACACCTACCCCACGCATGGCAGAGCCCTGCAGCATCACAGCCGTGTCCCCGCTGCCAGCTCGACCCATGCCCGAGGGCTGCTGTGTGCCCACCCTGCCCTCAGCCACGCTGCCAGAGCAGCTGGAGCAACTACTCACGGGTGGTGGGGTCTTCTGCAGGCACTCAAGGAGGTACACCATCTTGGCCTCCTCTTTCACGTACTCCACCTCCTAGGTACAAGCACAGGGACAGGTCAGGCCGGCAGCAGAGAAACTGCCATTTCTCAGGATCCCTTAACTTGTTGGAAGGAGGGCCACGAACCACAGCTCCCTGACAAGGGACGCATCAAGTGCCCTCATGAACAGTCCTGGCCTCCCACACAGGCATGGGGGAGCACCCAACTACCTCACCTGCACAACGTCCAGGCTGGCAGCACCTGCTCGGCCAACGTTAATGGTGATGGGCTTCACCAGGGCACTCTTGGCAAAGTTCTGGATCTTCTTGGGCATTGTAGCACTGAAGAGGAGGGTCTGTCGCTGGCCCTGCACAGGGAACACAGTGCAGGCAAGGATTTAGCATTCACCCAACCAGGAGGGTGCAGGGATTGAGCTTCAGGGTGCTCATACAGCGTCAGCTCAGTACCTTGAAGTAGGAGAAGATGGTACGGATGTCCCCCTCGAAGCCCATATCGATCATCCTGTCAGCCTCATCCAAGGCCAAGTAACGGCAGATGTCCAGGCTCACCATCTTCTTCTGCAACAGGTCCATCAGGCGGCCAGGGGTTGCCACCATCATGTGTACACCACTGTGGGACAAGAGGTGGCCATGGTCAGGCACTTGGATTCCTGTCCCACGCAGTGATACGTAGGGAAGGTAACACCCGCTTGGCATGTCACCTTCACCCTCACCTTCCTGAAGGCATCCAGCCCCTAGTGTCACCCCTTAGTCCCCTGCCAGAAAACAGAGCACAGCTCTATCCCCAAAAGACTCCACCACAAAGTCTTACTGTTTGATTGTCTCCATCTGCTCCTTGACAGACATGCCCCCGATGCAGAGGGCGCAGCGCAGGGGGGGCAGGCCGTCCTCCTGCAGCAGGCGGCAGTAGTACTCAATGATGCCGTGGGTCTGCCGGGCCAGCTCCCGCTGCGGAGAGAAAACAGTCATTCCTACACCTCCATGCAAGGATGATCAGGGATTGTCACTAAATATCAATCAAAGCTTCCTCCTGCACGTCACTGTGCTCCCAACACTCACCGAGGGACAGATGATGAGTCCGTAGGGTCCCTCTCGCTTAGAAAATGGCAGCCTCTTCTCCTGCTCCAGACAGAACATGATCACCGGGAGGGTGAACACCAAGGTCTTCCCAGAGCCAGTGAACGCAATGCCAATCATGTCCCTTCCCGAGAGGCTGGCAGAGAAACGGGGCCGATGGTGAGGAGGAGCATCACAGAACGGCTCAGACCTCCAGGGCTGAGCAAGGTGACAGGGCACATCTGTCACCAGGGAAGAGCAGGTGGTACACACCGCTGGGTGGGCTCTAGGCAGCAACCTCTCCCCACTCTGGGATGGGGACAGAGCACTCACATCGTGGGGATGCCTTGGATCTGTATGGGTGTTGGCTGCTGGATTCCTTTTTTCTTCAGGCCCCTCAGGATAGCTGTCAGAGAACAAAGGACACACACACTGATGACTGAAGTCTTCTCCTGCTTTCCCTCCTACTCATGTCCAGCTCTTCCACCAGTGATAAACACCCTCGAGCCAGCAGCCGGGTGTCACAGCCATCGTTGGGAATTTCAGCTGCGACCCCACTAACACTAAGCACCGAAGATCTGACAGCTTTGCTCACTGATGCACATTTCCCAGGAGAATGCTGTCCCCCCACCCTGCCAGGCTCCTCTCCCAGCCCACCTGCTGGGAACTTCATCTCCTTGAAGCTCTTGATAGGGGGTGGGATGCCTTCTCCCTCCACTAGGATGTGGTACTTCTTGCGCACACGATCATGCCGTGCCTCCGACATGCCCAGGATGTAACGAGGTGCTTTCCAGCTGCAAAGACAACAGAGAAAGGTCATGGTGCAGAATGAGGTTGGGGCTCCAGAGCCAGCAGCCCCCTAAAAGAAGTCCCTGTCAGGCTCTGAAATCCCACCAGGGAAAACAGGTAACCTCAAGGGGCATCACGGTGAGAGCACGGGAGCAGATCCAAGACAGTTCTATGCATTAAACCTTTCCCTACAGCCTCAGTAAAAAGTCCCAAGCTTGCAGCTGAAAGCAGTCTACAGATGGTAGACAGAACATGCCAAAATCTTTTGGACACCTCCTGATCATCTCTCTGACGCTGCCTCGAGCAGTGCTGGCTCTGTGGGCTCACCCAGTCTCTTCCTCTAGCTCAGACACCTCCAAAATCTAAAGATCTACCTCAGGTCTAACATAAACATATTCTAGAAAATCTTGATTGTACATAAAACAACATCTAAGGTGACTCAACAGCCTTCAATCGTATGCACAGCAGCAAGAAGCCAGGCAGCAGAGCAAGAGAGAAGCCAATGCTCCTCCCGCTAGGCTGCACGGCTTCTAGTTCTCTTCAGACACAAGGAAGCGACGTTTTCAGAAAAAATAACCTCTGTACTGTGAAATGTACCTGGTTTTAATCGGATCATCGTAGGTGATGCCCTTTGCCATCTCCTTCACTGACATCAAAGCTGCAAGAACAAAGGCAATAGGATCAGTACAAGCTCTCCACATTTAGGCACACATAACTTCAGTGGAGAACTACTCAGGCAAAGGGTTTGGGAGATTGTGCCCAGAGAGAGAGGAGGAAAAGCAGCACCCCTGACAGCCCCTCTGGCTACAGGAACACCAAGTGGCACAGCCTGCCATGCACAGGGGCCTGACACAGCAACATCCCATCTAAAGCAGTCAGCTGGATGCTGACCAAGGGGTCCTGTTGTGATCTCCCATCCCGTCCCCAGGTGTGAACGTTCCCAAGTGTTGCAAGGCAGGCAGCACTCCTGAGCGCTCAACAGACAGGTTTGAGAAACATGGCACTCCCACCACTCACCTCGGCCCTCTGCCACGC